AACCTCTTTATAAGCAAGATGGCTTCTGTAAAGCCCCCTCAGTTCAGATGGGAATCCTCATCAAGCTCAGCAGAGACCACTCACCAAGGTAATGCCAGTTATTGCTTTGGCCAGACAGTTTAAATCCTTATCCCATTGTTTTCAGTGCGCTCCACACATAGTATGGACTGTCTGCCCTACTACTAGCCTCTACTACAGTCTGAAATAAGAGTGGATATGGCTGAGGTGTCATACTCCTTGCTTCATCTCAGCAGTGCAGTCTATCACAATTTTTCTTACTGTAATCAGGAACAGCCCTCCAAAAACTTCCTACCATTGCTAGCCAATCAATCTTGGAAGAGCAATAAATGCAAGAAGAAATCATGCATAAATAGCACCAGGATTAGAGAAATTCTGATTGCCTTCTGTGCTTTATTCCTCCATAGCCAAATAACACCTGAAAAAATGTCTTTCCAGTCAGATATCACAGGAACAATGGAAGCATCCATTGTGATTGGTGATTGGGATAATGTTTTGCTAACTTCCCAAGAGTTCAGACATTATTTTACAACTGACCAATCTGTGTGAAAAGATTATCAGGAAGAAATAAATCAATCTAGAAGCCCTGCACATAGCCCTTATCTCCTTTGGTCATGCCACTCCCTCCATTCCTTAGTGATTTGGTACATGTACCATGTACATACAATTTTTAAAAATCTCAATCATTTCTAGATAATTTTCAGAAATATCCTTTGGACTGCCTTTCTTGAAGCTATGCCTCTATGATATTATTTGTTTTCTGGCAGAGAGAGTACAAAAATTTTTGTCCCAGGAAAAAACCAGAAAAATAAACATAATTCCTGTGTTAGGCTAAAACTAAGTAGTGACCTAGGAGTATCACTGAGTATCTGCCGAGGTGTTACCCTATCTGGTCAGTCAAATCCTTGTATGGGTTCGTCCAGACACATTTAAATGATCTAAGACGGTACAGCTTTACAGAACAGACAGCTTTAGAGGCAGTTGTCTGGTAAACATATAGCACCTCAAAGCTTGTCTAAATAATACATCTGACCCATAAATAATTTAAATAAAAGGACCAAAGACATGATCTAGCCACTTAGAACTGCCAAAAAATCAAAAGCTGGTCAGCTGAATGAGGAAATTATTTGGTATAAATCATCCTTCAGTTCAAAGTCCAGACTAAGACTTTTACATTCCCTTTTGCTTGTCTTGCTTATGTCAACTGTTCAAATGATCTCTTCCTCTTTTTTCACAAAGAGGGTGCTAACTAATTTTATCTTTAATGACTTCACTTTCTTTTAATTAAATAAAAACGATATTTTAAAAGTTTGTCAGTTTTGGGGTTTTTTGGCAGGACACATAGGCTTAAAATACTGTTATATATGACAACAGTTATTGACTGGTATAGATAAAATTAAGACTATCTAAAAGCGTAGCCACTGCATTGTTCAGTTGATAAGGTCAATGTTACTAGAATGATCTTGTCTTTGCCAAACAGCTGCACAGATTCAGAACTTTTTGTCCTTTTAAAATTATCTCTTATCTGTTTTATGCACTTTTTAAAATGAGAAAACCTTTAAGAAAGGCAATGGACATTACAGATATTCATGACAAGATCTAAAAAGCCAGTGGAGAGTTCATTCCATTCCATTCACTGTAGGAATTGCACTGCAGTATTTGAAAGTGAATTAAATATTTCCTTTAGATTTACAAACACAGATTTCTTCAGCATAGCTGCCACAGAAGTAGCAAATTACTTTTCCTGGTATACTTGAATGGAAAAGACAATGATCTCATACTTATACAAGGTTGAGTGCTATCTTACACAACAAATGGATCTTCATGGAGACCATAATAGTGGTATTGACCTTCTATACAGGCTTCAAACCCCTGAGTCTCTTTTACAAAGGAGGCTGAGGGAGCTGGGCCTGTTTGCCTTGAGAAAAGGTGGTTTGAGAGGGGATCTCTTCAAAGCCTGTATGTCTCTGAAGGGAGGGTGCCAGAGGCTTTTCTCAGTGGTGCCAGGCAATAGGACAAGAGGCAACGGGCAGAAACTGATGCACTGGAAATTCCACCTGAACACCAGGAAGAACTTCTTCACTGTGAGTGTGACTGAGCACTGGAACAGATTGCCCAGAGAGGCCATGGAGTCTCCCTGGTTCGGGATATTCAAGAACTGCCTCACACGATCCTGTGCAATGTGACCTGGGATGACAGAGCAGGAAGGTTGGACCAGGTGACCACTGTAACACCCTCCAACTTGACCCATCCTGTGCTTATATGATCCAACAGCACAGGATCTGGATTTTGTTAATGATATGATATGGACATGATAATGAGTAGAATGATTTGAACTATATCTGTAGAACAGAACAGCATTTTACTCTTATCAAGGACAGAAGAAGAGAACAGCACAGCCTTGGAGAAATAGATAAAGGATGTAACTTTGGCAAATAGAACCCATGAAAAACACAAGCAGGATACCAGCTCAGCTCTGTGAGGCTGACAAAGCCGAAGTTAGGCAAAAAAATGATATTGCACTAACTCAAAAACAGGGGCTGAGGAACAGGCATTTGAAAAGGACATGGGACACTGAAGACAGACCCCAAGGAATCTATGAGGACTTTTGATAAGAGATGAGACTATGTAAAATAAAGTAAAACATAATATCCAGTAAGGAGGTATAGCTAATGAATATGTGATCATTTTTGTATGATAAACACCCTGTATATCTGACACTCGGGCATTCGATTGCAGACAGGATCCTCCAAGTGTCCAGCAACTGCAGTAAAGGATGCCTGCCTGCTGTCTAATACTCAAAACCATGTTAGAAAGCTTCTATCCAGCTGTTGTGGTATCACAATGTACAATAATTTCATTTTCATTATCTTCAGTAAAAAGACTTACAAACTAAAAGAGCTATGGATTCTTGATTTTCAATACAGTACCATCAGGTCACAGATGAAAGACATTTGTGCTTTACTGAAATCAAAAAAGTGTAGCCACTGAAAATAGGCTTACTTGTCTAGCCAGCTTATAAAAAAATCTTGTAAATTGTTGTCCTTTCAAAGCTGAAATGAGAACAAGATTAAAAAGAGAACACATTTCAAAAGTAATTGTAGTTGAGGGGCATGTTGTACATTAACATTCCTCTCAGCATCACTTCAATCTCTCATTTTGGGAACTGCTTTCTTTCAGTGACTTCCTGCCTTAGATGAAATCTCATCTATCTTCCCAATGAAAAGATGAAATCCTGGCAGAGTCAGCAATTTTTCCTTTAAAAAATATGATAGTAAATACTGCTTTTTACCCCACTAAAATATTTTAAAATGACAGACAGAATATTATGGTGCATAGAGATTATACCTAAAATGTTTTACTAAACATTTTCAGCATCTGTTCCCTGATATTTGCATGGTGTTTGGGTACATGTTTGCCCTCATTTTTATGAATAATTTTTAAAAATACACAAAGGTGATTAAGGCAGGCATGACTATCTTTACTCTCACATGGCTCTGCTTTCCTTTGTAGAGTAAATGAAATTTTATTGTACTATACATTAAATTACTTTTATTAAATGCATTTGTGCTGGGATCTTCTTGGTATACAGGATTTCATGCCGTTACCTGGTGAGATTCCAAGTTAAATGTATTTAGCGGATAACTAAGGGTTGGGAAGTGAAGGGAACAGTGGCTGCATTACAGATTTCCAGAAAAATAATTTTGTCTTATGTGATACGTCACAGACACACATCAACAGAAGTTTCTTAAAATAATTGAAAGATGGAAATTTACCTATATCCCATTGCATAATCCCATCTTAGAGAGCCAAGGAAAGAATCAAATCCTTGAAGAAACATCTACAGAATCTGGGGTGAAGATTCAATGTAAACATCAGCATAGCACATGAGATTCCACTCTTACAAATGGACTTCATTCTGCTATTTAAGTCAATGCAACATCAAAGATGCATTTACGGGTACAGTCTTGGAGTGTCAGCAACTTAAGATGACACAATAATGTCACTTGGTATGCAGGGGGAGGTTAAAGAGAGGATTAAAACCAGTCAGGCACGATATATTAAAGGAATCCATGACTAATGGGGTGTGACAGCAAAGGGTTTCATTATTTTCAACAGAAAAGATCCCTGTGGCTTGAAGTATTAGTCCACTGTGCCTTTATCACCTTGGAATTTTTATGGTTATTTTTATGGTTATTTTTGATGAACTCACATTTTCATGATTAACTTTTTGGCATTAGGCCAATTTTCACTTTTAATTAAATCCATAAATAACCTTAATTCTTCATTAAAAGGTTTATTGTTCTTATTTTGCATTATTATTACTGTTAGAAAATATTTCAAATACCAAAGCATAATGTTAGTTAGTAATTATAACTTCACAAAGGTCCAGTAAATACCTATGTAACACCTTGTACACATTAGGCCTGTGATTAATAGGAGTTATGATGAAAAATGCTCAAAATAAATTCCTTAGGTAGCAACACAGCTCTTTAGAAATGCACTTATACATATAAACAGTTGATGACTCATGGACTTGACATCCACAGGGAATCAGCATTGTGAAATATCTTGGTATTATTGGAAGTATCTGGAATATGGAAATACAATTTAGAGCTTAGTCCCACATACCGCCCTCAAAATCCATTCTTCCATCTGAGACTGGCCAGGATTTTGTAATACTATGTATTTACCAAATGGCAGAATTTGAAACCAAGAATTTATGTTTACAAAAATTATTTTTACTTGCCTTGTTGTGTTTGTTTAGTGATTAACCATTACAGCAGTAAACATAAAGCATTAAAACATTAAGTCAGAGATGAAATTATCTACATACAAATCACATCAATCTACATGCTCTTTTTTCTAATTTAAAGTTTGAAATCAACCCAAGTACTTGAAGATGCATTGAAACATCTAATATTATAACACTGATTTTTTTCACATAAAATTTACACCAGTCAAGACAGCAGAAAAATCACCTTTTTCCTGACTTGTTGATCTTTGGAAGAATGGGCTTTCACATGTTTTCTCAGGGAACTTGGATCTGTGTATCGCTTAGTACATCCTGGAATCTCACATGCATAATCCTGGAAACCCCCATTCAAAAGGTTTTAAAAAAAAAAAAAAAAAAAAAAAAAAAGTTACTGTTATATCACAGATTATTTTAACTCAAGAGAATACTTTTTGAGCCTTGGGATGCTACAAACCATATTACTACAGAACAGAAACATCGTACATTATTACATGCAGGAAACTTCACAAGTTGTTAGAATAGGAAAGGATGAAGTAAAGCTTTAAAGGAAGATAAACAAAAGGAAAGTTTTCATTACAGCACCTTTCATGATTACCTTTTTTTTTTTCTTAGTAGTACGATGAACATTGCTAGATATACTTACAATTTTTCCACCCTCAGCAATCTTTGACTTAATCAGAAATTACAGTCTTTAGTGAATCAGGTAAAGAAACTGCAGTAAAGGCCCGGAAAGACTGTTTAGGATTATAGAAGGATCCGCTTCAGAAAAAGAGAACAAGAAAAAGTGTTAGTTTACTATATTACAAAGAAGGCAAGCAAAACCTCAACCAAGCATTGAATACTGAAGTATCAAAAGTATTACATTAAAAAATCCAAACATTTTAATGTGAAGTACTGACCAACTCCTTCAGCTCACATTTTCTATAATACTTCATTTAGAAAAATACCTGTAAAATGTCCTGCAATACCTTTATGGTTTTCTTAAAAGAATGCCCAATAAATCTAACTCATATAAATACCTTATCTTGCCTGTTCTAAGCTGTCTGTCTTGCCTGAAGACTTGTAGATTCACAATACATAGTATCAAATGAACATTAGGTTCAACTGTTTCCTGGAAGTAGCTATTCAGCAATGTATTCACTTATGTTCTACCTAGAATTTCTGAAAACACCTTGCACAAATTACTAACTTGCCAGCCATAGGTTTGAATATTCAAAATGGATAATTTACTTTTTTTAACAGCCATTTAATTCAAACGGCATTGTTTTAAACATATTTCTGGACTTCCACTCTTTGGAAACTGTCTCTGAAAAAACACAAAATTTTTTTTCTGAAACAGAGGTTTTTAAACAAATCTCAGCCATCACTCAAATTTACAAGGGACAATCTGTTGGCACAAAAATTTTTAGATTTATGAAATCATTCTATCTCTCTTGACTTTCTGGTGCATGCCCCACTCTTAACTTTTCATCAAAGAAAAGCTCTTTATATTGCAGATGGCTTTAATTTCCTTAAAGATCAACTAAGTGGGAGAAAGCTACTGCTTCTACCTGCAGCAAAGACCATGGAACCTGTGGTCTTTTTATCAACCAGCCTGGGTCCATCTTCTTGCACGCTTAGATGAGTGGGTCACTTTTGAGGCAGCTTCAACAGCCTCATCAGACCATCCACCCTCCTGTCTCTAAGGTTATGGGCTACCTGCTGTCACCAAGCTGGAGGAAAGGAGATGCTCTAATGTTCAGAGGGTTGCAGTGGGATTTCTGTGTCCTTACAGTGTCCAAGTGTGTCCTCTGGTGCTTGGCGCGGTCGCTGGAGTTGCTGAAAGCTTTCTGGCAGCCCGGGTGCTGGCAAAGGTACGGCTTTTCACCCGTATGGCTCCTTAAGTGAATCTTGAGATTTTCTAGTCTGGAAAAGGCTTTCTTGCAACCCTCAAACTAGAAAAGAGAAAGAAATTATTTGAAAGGAAAACATGCACAGGAAACTGCAAGAGCAAACAGGGAAAGAAGGGTAAAAGGGCATGCAGAGACCTCCAGCCTGCTATGGCGGGGTAGCATGGATGTTGCTGCAGGGTTCAAACCATTTAGACTGTAAAAATGTACCTATCCTCCCTGCACATGGCTGAATTAGGAGAGTACATCCTACATTTTGCAGACGGCACACTGAGACCCAAAGGAACCAGCCAGCTGAGAGTGCAGCACCAGCCTGGGAAACACAGCCTGAATCTCCTCCATGTGGCACACAGAGCAAAATGGTCACTGTGAGGTTCTCAAGACCTCTGCTAGCTATCCCTGTCTCAGCTCCAGGCTTCTCTGGATATTAGCAGCTCAGCATAACAGAGGCATCTCTCAGTATCAACCCAACCTACAGAGCAACAGCAAAGACATGCAGGGAAATTTCAGTCTGCTCTGCCTTGTTCATGGTGATGCAAAAAGTGAAATGATTTCTGAAACATATTTTTACTTTTCTGCCATGAGTAAATGTATGACATACTAAAAATACTGTAAGCCTGCCAAAACAGTAATTCCTGCGGGGAACCAAGAACCATGGGGCATAGTACTTCTATACCTAATCAAGTACTGCAACTGTGGAGAAATCTATGTTTATATAAACAGAAAACAAGCTTTTCATCTATCATGCTCTCATGGTATACTGTAACCTAAGGGAAACTAAAATATCTGTTCTATTTGACACCAGCATTTTTATAGACACTTGATTTCAATTAGACCTAAATATTTATGAATATCAGAAGTATAGGCTTTCTAAAATTCTACCAGTCAGGACCAATTCATCTCATTAGCTTCTATGCTCACTATGCAACATTTAAAGCTTCTGATGCATAACAAACTGCTATGCTTGCAAAAATAGTAATTCTATAGTAGAGATTTTTCTAAAGCTAACACAAAAATTTCAATCTTTTCACTACCTATTAATTTTCTTCACTTGAAAAGGAATAGGCCATTTTTCACTGGTGTCAGAATGACACAACTAAATTTTATAATATATTATGCAGTGCATGTATGTTTACAAAAGCACAAGTAGGAAAAGTGACATAATTCTGATCATAATTAGCATACCTTTCTTACAAATCTCTAACATCCTCAAAAAAGGAGAAAAAAAATTGTATCACTTAATTTTAAGCACATCTTTTGGATTACTCCAAAAAAGAATTACAAGTTCAAAGAATAAAGTATAAAACACATTACTATAAACCAGTGCTATTAAAATAAAGCTTAAGAAATTAAAACTTGATACAGAGGATGAACCATGCCTGCTATACCATAATTGCAATTTATCTTTCCTACACATACACTTCAGAAAATGTCTCAACCCATGAAAGTTTGTATTTATATTCCATCCCTTTATCCGAAACAAACCAGTGCTTTTCAGATTATCCAGTTTTGATCACTGAACATTAATTTATGCTTATAAATAGTGTCACCTTTATGTTTACAGAGCTTTAGCATGCATATAAAACATTGTTGTAAGAGTAAAAATATTTTTACTTTTAAGGATATATTTTTAGAAAATATTACAGAGTAAAAAAAATAAAATACACCAACATATCTTTAAATTGCCTTGATAAAAGTATCACTTTTTTTCTAGGAAAAAGTAAAGAATGGAGACAGCATAAGAACATGGAGTTAAAAAATGGATGTAAGAAATTATTCACAAAAGTGATGAAATTATAGAATGGTTTGGGTTGGAAGGGATCTTAAAGATCATTTAGTTCCAACCCCCCTGCCATGAGTAGGTAGACAGGTCAGAACAGGTTGCTCAGTGCTCCATACAGCCTCGGTTTGAACATTTCCAGGGATGAGACAACTTCTCTGGGCAACCAGTGCCAGTGTCTCACAGTAAATCTCTCCCAAACATCTAATAAAATTGTACTGTTTCATTTTTGAGCCTTCAAAAAATGACCTTCAAGAAGCAAAATAATTCAAGAGCACCTCTGTTAAAATGAGAAAGGCTAATCAGTAGATTTCTATCTTATACAAAGACGTCATTATTTTGTAATAACACCATGAAAGAACAAACTTACATTCTAATAACTGTAACTATGCTGTACATAAGAATAATTTTAGTATCTCAAGAAGCCATTAATTTTATAGGGTAAAACTCAGACCAATGAACAAGTTGTAGAAGCATGACTCTTTTGTTTATTTTTCAGGTTATTAAACTTTGAATTTTTAAGTATGCAAATGAACTTAAACATGTAAATGTTGCTTATATGGCTGTAAAATTAACATTAATTTTAATTGGGCAAAAATGTTTAAGTAAGCAGAACTGGAGAATCCTAACATACAAATTTAAGGATTATTATTTCTGAAGACTTCTGCATTGCTCAGTATAAATTGGAAGAAAGGATTCTCTCTTCCCCCACAGCCTTAAATTACTGTCTGGCATATTCACAAGGCAATATATAGATGTGTATTGCTAGAAAGGTCATTCTAGCAAAACAGTCTGCAAGCCTGTATTCTTAAGACAACCATCCTTACTCAACAGTTAATGAATATTTCTTTTATAAATCAAATTTCTTAAAGCATTGGAAATATCTGATACTTAAAACAAAAAGAATGAAAAGATACTCTTTTCAACAGCACAGAACATACTCTCTATCCTGATAAAAATATTTCAGTGAAAGTATTGCAGACAAGATGGGATCACTCAGTGGGGGAAAAAAGTCAGGTAGTGATTCATGTTTTTGAAATGGAACTCAGAGTTTTCTAAGGTACTAACTGTTGTAGTCACTAAGTATATGGCATAGCTTAGCATTCTGAATCTGTTTAACAGTCCTAAACATATCCTGATTAAACCAGATTTTTTGCAAGTCTTATGTAAAATTAATTGTGTAATATTTTCCTAAACTGCAATACAGAAATCAGTTGCTGAGCTTCTATTTTTACTGCTGCATGCAAATTGAAACCATTAAGTAGCTCATACAGAAAATTCCTCTCTGTACTTCCTAAAGTTCTTTTTAAAATACATTCATGTTTACTTTCTTCTTTTAAAAGGACAATTATGAAAAGTAAGAAACAATGTATTTAGAGGGAAAGGTAAAGCATATCAACAGAAAAAACCCTCAGTTTTATGACTTTAAAACATTGTGTTTTCATGAGCACACTGTTCATCCTTGTTTACACCGAGATGACGTTCAGCATACCAGGCAACCCTCCTGTAAAATGAAAATATAATTTCATAGATTGTATAAAATAATCTGTGCAACATGAAAAGCCCTTCTGGATGCCCCATGCATTTCTGAGCCTTGACTGGAATTCACTACATAATATATTTAGACTCTTGAACTATAGAACAGACGGTAATACCTGTGTGAGTACTTCAGTATCAGTAACAGATAGTCAGTGGCCAAGTGACTAATAAATTAGTCCATTTTCTCTGCAAAAGGAACTGTTCTGATTAGCTCAGCTGATCACTAGATCTCTAGCAAGGATTGAAGAACTTGTTCTGGCAGACATCTGTCTGAGCTCTGATCCATTCACTAAAAACTATGTAGCCTTCATATAAAAGTGAAACACAGCCAGCACAGCTTCTTCTTAATCCAGTATCTAATATTATCTGGTATTAAATATATTCACATTTTCCTGTCTGAATTGGTTTTGCTTCAGCACCCAGGCAGTGTATTTTCTTTTGTTATTTTTCTGCTGTATTAACATCATAAGAAATATAAAAAGTAACTTTTTTTTTTAATTCTAGGTACTTTCTGTTACCACGTACTTTAACCTTCTCTTAAACAATTTATACATGTCAAAAGTATTTGCTTTCTCACTACACACAATGCTTTCTCAGACCTCCTTCAAAATTGATTCCAAACCTCCAAACAATGAAAGGAAATTAATTACTTTTAGAAATACTGACACCTGAACAGTACTTGATTTTACAGAAATGTTCAATCCAGTATACAACATAATGTTGCTCTCCTCAAGTTTGGGCTGTTAATATCTTTTTTCACCTGAACCAGCTATACAGTGATCTGCAAATATTTCTAAGCATTGCTGTTTGTGGCAAAGGATCATCTTTTATTTTTTCAAGGGTGAAGAATAAGCATTTACCTTCTCCACTGTCATGTGTGAGAAAATATTTATGGGATATTATAACGAATACATTTAATTACATGTTCCTCATCTGGTCTGTCTCTAAGCTTACTGAGAGAGGGGTGGTTTTCCATTTGAAATTTGATTTTGCTAAACATTAGTCTGCCTACAACCATTAAATTGCAGCAGCTGGCTTTCTGTGTACAAGAGCTAGCTATTGTCCACACAAAATCTCAGTAACAAACCTAGATACTTCAGGGACAGAATTTATTTTTTCTTCAATAAAACTGAATACATGTCTCATGCAAGAAGCAAAAGAGACTGAGAGCCCCTCAAAAGGCTCCAGTATAGGGAAACACATGAACTACAACCAAATGACCTCAGAAAGTTTGATATGGCATGAGCTTGATGGAAATGTGAAGAACTCTTCAAATCTCTGTCAATCTGACTTGGGGGAAATCAACCCAACCCTACGTACACACAGAGGACATATTAACCAAGTGGTTCAAATGCATGCCCAGAGTTGCAAAATACCAGCTCATTTGGCTTAGTAACCTGTTCAGTCATGGGGAACCTTTCATGATGCAAAATGAGAAGAAAAACGTGCACCCAGAAACTAAGATACATATCAGAGGGGAGAAATTCCTTACTGATTTTAAAAGGCCAACAAGATAAGAAAATTTACCCTAGCAAAAATACTTTCCATGAAAAACCAAAAGAAAATAATACACATCTCTACCTTCCATACCTCTTCTTCACTAAGCACAATGGATGCCAAAGTGGTCCAAGGACACATCTCATCATAATTGTGGGACAGGACTTTCCCCATTGCATCCACACAGGTAAGAAAACCAGCAGTTTCACAGACATACAGATCAAATCAG